TTCAGTACCTCTAGGAAAGCCTCTACAGTTTCGATATTTTTCATTACTGGTTCTATAATAATTTTGATATCACATAGTCAAACCACAGTGGGTAGCTTGAGAAGCCTTGGTGCTTTTATACTTTAGTGAAACCATTTAGAAATCATTTAGGAAATCTACTTCATTTTGAGGACATTCTCTATGATATAGTAAATAGAAAACAGCTATATCCACAGAGCTTTCAATTCTCAGTTTAAAACCATGCTTCAGTTTATATTTTGTGAGTGAGGAGAATCCAAGTTCTATTTGGAAAATACAGCTTTGTACTTCCCAGTTATGCTGGGAGGATAACAGTTGTTACTTCCTTGGTCATCAGACTTGCAACTTTCATTTTCCACAGCCAGTCCCCTCCTTTTTACAATGCCTCATCTTTTCTAACCCACAACTCCTATGAAAGAAAATGACTGAGTTTCTTGTGAAAGAACATGGCTATGAAACTGATGCTAGTTATAGTTTTATTAAAGCAAAGAAGACAATATTATAAATTGCAAAAATACAAGTAAGAAAGATAACTCAAAAATGACTTCAAAGAAAAATTAGGGCAACTTAACAAAAAGACTATTCAGAGATGCTAGCAAAATTCTTTTTGTCTTATCTTTTCCTTACAATATTGAGGGAATACTTGTATTTTTACCTTCAGGAAGATACAAAGAAAACTGTTTTAAATAACAGCTTTGTAGCACGGATTGTTATAGAAAATAAATAATACTATAATGCATTGGAGTTGCTGTAAATATACGTAGTTTAATAGTACTTGAAGAATCGCAACAGTATAGCCTTTTAAAACTGGTCTAATAAGGGCCTGATGCATTGGCCTAGTGGCTAAAGTCCTCGCCATGAATGCACTAGGATCCCATATGGGCACGGGTTCTAATCCTGGCAGTCCTGCTTCCCATCCAGCTTCCTGCTTGGGCCGTGGGGGGAAAGCAGTCAAGGACAGCCCAAAGCCTTGAGACCCTGCACCCGTGTGGGAGACCTGGAAGAGGTTTCTGGCTCCTGGCTCCTGGTTCCTAGCTCCTGGCTCCTGGCTCCTGGCTCCTGGCTCCTGGCTCCTGGCTCCTGGCTTTGGATCTGCACAGTACCGGCCACTGCAGTCACTTGGGGAGTGAATCAACAGACAGACTCTGTCTCTCCTCCTCTTTGTATATCTGACTTTGCAATAAAAATAAACAAATCTTTTAAAAACGGTCTAATACATATGAAAATAATCACTTTGTCAGAAGATCATTATCAGCATTGTGATATCAAGAACAAGAAACAACATTAACTTCAAATCTTGATCTTACGATCTTTTGCTATTAAAATTTGCATCATATAAAAAAAATCAATGGAAAAGGAATCATTTAGTATACGTTGGCTACCAGAGATCTGAAACAGCACCACTGACCTAAAGTTCCTTAAGTAAGTACAAAATCATAGTTCACACTTCTTAAATGGTAACATAAAAAGTCACAGATTAATTCATGGGAATAATAGGTCTTTTTTATCAAAGCCCTCCAGATGTCTAGGCGTGTCATGAAAAAGAAAAAAAAATGTCAATTTAAGTCCCCAAACTAAAGTTATTTCAATAAAACATAGCTGAAATAAATCTGAATTAATTTAAACATTTTTGGAGAACTACCACAGAACATTTTTCCCTTTTTAGTTCCAGGAGCTTAAATGAAACATTCATGCATTAAATTCAAAGTCTGACTGTCAAATCATTTCACTTTAATAAAAATTTGAATTACCTGCCTTAGGGCATTATTAAATATCAAATAAAAAGCACAGATCCATAAGTCTGATTTCCCAATATGATTTTTATATAGAACTATGACTAGATTTGTATTACATATTTCAAGATGAAAGGATCAAAAATGCATTCATGAAAGGATGAAATCAGAGTTGGAGTCACGTTAGGAAGAATGCCTGTAACACTGTGAGGACTTGGGGGAGAAGTACTCCTCTTTAAATCATCCCAGCCAACAACTATTCTTTCTCTCTCTCTTTTCCTCTTTCTCCCTCCACCACCTCTCTCTCCCTCTGTGTATGTTTGCATGTACGTGTGTGTGTGCAATTTTTTTTCAATAAAAATGGGTGGATTCTTTTTTTAAGGGATATTCTACTTGAAACCTTCTTCCCCACACTGTTTTTTCTCATTTGTGACATTCATTATAACTTGTGACTGTGGATTGTGGAGTGTTTACTTTTCTATTGTCAGACACCCCACTTAGACCCTGAGTGGTGTGAGACTGTACACCATACCCAACCCTCTGATCTCTTACACTCAGAACAGGAATAACAGGTTATCAACATAATCTTTGACTAAATGTCAATTTAATTCTCCAGTTCATTCATCAAGTCTAGTCAAAACCGTTCCAGAATGTTCTTGATATCATGCCTGCATTAGTGAATATTTCTCCTCATATTCTTAAAAAAAGATGAGTCTGCCTGATCTTCATCAACTCCAAAATTAAGAGATGCACAGCTTTGGCTAACTCACACACTAAGAATGAACTGCTACCAGAAGCTGTGCTGGCTGACATACAAAAGGTGTAGTTCTGAAGATGACATTTCAAGTCACAATATATTATGCATCGTGATGAAGTCAAGATAGCGAAAAAACATTAAGAAGTTCTTAAGAAGCTTGGAATATGATAGAAAAATAAAAAGAGATTAAGTGGGAGACAGAATCTGAAATGAAAGTTATAATCTAAGGAAGTAGTAGAGACCTATGGGGAGAAACATTTGAGTGCTACTATGGCTAGAATTTCAACAAGCCAAAGACCAAGAAATACTGAGTGAGCAAACACATTCACAAAACACAGTTTGGCTAGAGTAAGGGATCACTGGGAGAATACTTCAAAAAGTTCATGGAAACTTGAGTTGAAAGGTAAATTTGTTTAGGTGCAAAATATCTTGAAATGTATGCATAGTCTTTTCATAGAACATATATCCTATGAGCTCTGTGAAGACCCTTCATGTAATATGGTAACACACCACAACCAGAATTCACAAGGAATTTATACCTCTCCCATTGGGAAGCAAAATAATTAAACACATGGGGAAAATGACTGTTAGTAATTGCATATTTTTGAATGTATATTTTTAAAATTCCCAAGTTTGGAACAGCTGTGGCACAATAGGTTAAGCTGCCATTTGGGATACCCATATATCTTAATGCCAATTTGGCTTAATCAGCCACTCCACTTCCAATCCAGCTTCCTGCCATATGCAAGAAACCGCAAATGATGTTTGGGAGACCATGATAAAGTTCCTGGCTCCTGGCTTCAGACTTACCAACCCTAGCTATTTTAGGAGTTAATCAGTGCATGGAGGATTTCTCTCTTCTCTGTCTCTTCATCTCTGTCACTCTGCATTTCAACAAACAAAGAAATCCTTTTTTTAAATCCTATGTTAATTATTGGACTCACAGATTTTAATGTCTCTGTGATTGCCAGGTAGACAATACTACTCACCCAGTCCCAATAGTACATTAAACAGCCCCAGCCCTGTCCAGTTCCCTTAGGAAATCAATCCATCACCTTTCTCTTTATGGGAAACAAAGGTTTCTCTTCAAGGTGTTCTAAGAGTCCTATGCACTTAGACAACTGACAAAGTAAAAAAAAAAAATTCAATATATAATCATAATTATTCAATGAACACATAATCATTTTACATACCTACATTTATGATGTTTTATTTTGTTAGCTCTTTAAGGCTAAGAAATGCATATATTGAATTCAATACATGAACAAGTAGATTATGTTTGTATCAGTAAAACAACATCATATTCATAAATTAACATGTGCTTCTTGATCTATCAAATAAGCATCATTTTCATAAGACAAGGATTACGGTCTTTGTCAGTATCTTCTCTCACCTACCCCAATAAACAAGATAATCAAATCCATGTCTTTATACCTTACAAGGTAGAACACGAAGATTAGTTACTCCTCACTAAGGTATTGAAGATTTCTCTGCACACCCCTCCTAAAACTGTGCTGCACCTCAGTTGTTGACATATGCCTTGTTAGAGCTATAAGCCTGTTTGGACTATCCTAAAATTTGCCAAGTTCAGTAAAAATTATGCTTCAACAGTATAAACTGTTAAATATAAAAATGAAAATAGACACAAGACAACTGAATAGTACCCTATAGCCATTTTAAGCCTGTTGTGTATAAACTAAAATTGAAATATCAATGTAGTCACAGGATGTGGTTAAGAACTTGGATTTTCTAACATATTGGTCACTCAATACCATGTCAATTAACTCCATAATGTTGTAAATTGTTGATGTCATGTTGTGTCTTTTCATTGGACAGGATGATATTCTGCCAGCTCTGCTTTCAGACCAGAGATGGGCTCCCCAAGAAACTGTTGTGTTTATCTGGACAATAAGATGCTGGACTCTATGCATGGTACATGCTTGCACTGAATGAAACAAGACTGGATTTGAACTGTAATACTGCAATAAGATAGAGGAACATGGGGAGGAGTTGGGGGAATCCTAGAGCCTATGAAACTCTGTCATAAAATAAAATGAAATGAAATTTAAAAAATCCATGTCTGACAAGAGGTTCACCATGTCCGTTCTAACGTGCACCTTACTCATGGGAGTGGACAACTGCAACTTTCAGAAATCAGCCACAGAAATTAACAGAAATCATGGCCTAACACCATTTCTCTGCCTCGGCATGCTTTTGCTTATGCAAACCAATATTAAAAAAAAAAAAAAAAAGAACTTGTACTTAAAGGCTGATCTAGTTGGAAAACAAAAGAATCACAGATTATTTTCAAGATTAGATTAAATTGAAAGAATCACATGACTTGTAATCATTGAGGTTTTCAAATGTGTGATAAAGTTTATCAAAATGAAGTTTAATTACTGTGTTGGTAAATAATCAAGGAGACTGTAAGAGTGATTCTGGTACGGCAAGTATGGGAAACTGTGCACCACATTTTCCTTGCTTGGTCTACACATACCCTGATGAAGATGAACTTGTTCCTGTTCCCTCTGGCTATTGAAATGCGGCTCTGATGACTCTGTCACTAAGGGGCTGAGTGGGTCGAAAGTTGTCTCCCAAAATTCCATCACAGCCTTCCACAAGTTCTGCCCCTTTAACATGTGTCCGCAGCCTTCGAAATTCTTCTATCTGAAACGGGGAGCAAAACATTATCATTTACTAGACGATAACAAGACGTAAGAGTTTCACTTGTGACTTCAATGCATAAATTAGGGGTCAGCATTATGGCATATCGGAAAAAGCACCACTTACACTGTTGGCATTCCATGTGGGCACTGGGTCGTGTCCCAGCTGCTCCACTTTCAACTCAGCACCTTGCTAATGACCTGGGGAAAGTAATGGGAGATGGCCCAAATGCTCAGGCCCCCTACAACCCATGTGAGAGACCTACAAGCAGTTCCTGGCTCACAGCCATTTTCAAAGTGAACCAGCAGATGAAGGACCTTTTTGTGTCTTGCTCTCTCTCTTTGACCTTCAAATAAACAAATAATTCTTTAAGATAAACAAAAAGCACGCATTACAATAAGTAGAAAAATGAAATGCAGACAAAACTTGAGAAAAAGAACATCAGACTAAGTTTTTATAAATCTAAGGCTTCAGGCAAGATCCTTGCAAGAGAAGAAACAGATGAGGCTATATCAGTATCTCCAGATAACTCAAATGATCACAGAAACCTACTGGACTTGTTACTGTGAAAATGATGCACACTCCTTTAAGAAAGCCTTTGTACAGCTCTACAACACAATGAGAAAGAGTGAGTGAATGAGTATGCCTAAATGTTTTCCATTCTACTTTTAATTAGTAGATTCTGATAGTACTTTATGCTAACTTTAAATGTCAGACGTTAGTTAACTTTTCATTATTATAATGAGATACATAAAACAAGCAACTAATGAGAAGAAGCTATTTTGCTAATAGTTTAGCAGATTTTTAACAAAGACAAGATGGTCTCATTGATGCAGCCACTGGTAGATGCAAATGGGAGAAGGACCACTTGATAAGCTAAGAAGCAGAGAAAAAAGTTTTATAACTTCTTCTTTTCCCAGAATTACCACCTCATGGTAAGCTAAAGACTTCTTTTGTAAGTTCCCATTTCCTAAATACCATAACTGGACAAATTTTAACTCTTTTACTCTTTTAGTATTACTCACATATAATTTTGGTGGTTAAGCATCTACTGGAATTCCAAAACCAAATTATGTTCAAACTATGCCCACAAACTAGAAGATTCCTTCATCAATAGATTGCCCTTGCTGCTCATCAAGTTCCTTGGAAAACACTGGTTGAAATATTTTGGATTTTCCCAAAATTGCTAAGCCTGACTTCCTCTCACAGTAACAACAATGCTCATCTCCCTTTCTCTGGCTGCCTCTTCAGGCGTCATACCTTCACTACTGCATGTGTAGAAGTTCTCAGAGTCCCGAGTCACAGTCCCCATCAGGAACTCCTGCCATAGGTGGCCCTGATTTATTTAAACAAGAATACATTATGAACATTATTCATACTCATCTTAACTGGTTAATCTGTAGGGATTATTGTCTGTTCCTTCATTAAATATCACATAGTAATATGACTTAGCCATGCCTCAATCCTTACGCAGAAGGAAAAACTAAGGATAGAAATATTAAAAACAACTCCGAGTTGGTGGCAGAAGTCTGACAGTTCCAAGTCCCCCTGCTCTTTTCCCAGAACGACTGTCACCACTTCATCAGTTCAGCTCAAATCAAGTGTAAATCTACAGTCTGCAAATATCCCAGTGCATTGAGCCAATGTAATGTGAACAGCATCAATCCACCAAAATGTCATCACCTATGTGTCCAAAGATTATCTCTACAAAAGCCCTTATGACAATACAGTCACAAGATTCTGCCATGCAGAAAAGGAAATGAAGTAGAAGAGTTGAACTAATTCAATGGTTTGAATAAAAGTCTAGAAATACCTAAAGACTTCAAGGAGCCCACAAAACCCCTGAATGATAAGCGAACTTTTACATATGCATTTTTCCTACAGACTCCAAATCACAAAAGTTAAATTATGCAAGTTTCTAATCCAGTCTACTCCATTCAGCTTAGGATGGAGTTGGGGAAAAAATATATATGTCTTGTTAGATTAGAACTCAGGTTAGCAATCAGATTTCTAATGTTTTATTTTCCCATGTCCCCAAACACTGCTTAATGCTCCCAAGTTGGATAAATGTGACCCAAGTGATATGATCTTCTTTATTCACTTAAAATAATACAGTAGCTGTTTAATATACACAAGGAGTTTTCACTAAACCTTCTTAGGCTTTTGCCACCTAAATCTAAATGACAAAGGGATGTCATCTATACAAGTCTTGATTTCCAATTGTATACAATAGAGGTGATAATAACAGAATCATAAGGATGGAGGCTTAAAAAGTAAAGAAGGAAATTTAGAAAAATCATTCAGCATAGTACCAAGCATGTAAGAAGGAAGTGTTTGACAAATGCTGGTCCATCCATTTCAAACAAACTTTCAGCATTTTGAAATAATTAGCCACATTTTATTTGTATGAATTAGATATTATACCAATGTACTGATGAATTTAAAATCACTTCTGCACACATTTAACACAGAAACATACGCAAGATCTGCAGCTGGAATCTATGAGCTAGGGTGAGTTAAGAGGCTCACATTAGAGACCGGCACTGGATTCCACTTGGTTTCAGCCTAGTCCAGCACCAGCTATTGCTGATATTTGGATAATGACTGGTGCATGGAAGATCCTTCTCTATCTCTCCCCCTTTCTCTCTTTCTCTCTTTCTCTAATGACTAATGTGGACTAGAAAGTTAACTCCCTAAAGATACTTAAGGAATATTCTATTTTTTATTGACTGTGTGGCTTATTTCATAGCCACCTTAATTTTATATTTACATATTCTGAACTGAAGATAAATCTTTTAAGCCCCAGGCATCAGCCTGAAGCACATTCTGTGAAAACAACTTCTTCTGGGAAAGATGATATGAATCAACAGCCAGCCAGTCTCAAATCACTATACTCTCCAAGAAAACTATTTCATGAGAAATGTTTTTCTCTGATCATAGCAACTCTTTGAAGACTTCAAACATCAGCAGAGATCGAGAGGAAAGCATATCTTTCTGAAATGCCAGTTTTCTGAAGTAGCCAACCACTCCTCAAAGCCCCGTAGTCACTTCAAATGGTTTCGAGTGCATACTGAATCAGCCCACAGTGAAATGAGAGACTGTGATCAATGAACAGAGTAATACATAGAGCTGGAAAAAAAAAAAAACCTTCAACAAAATTCAAATGTCAGGGCATTTGAAAAGCCATCATTATCACATATATCTGAACATATGATAACATTGATTTTTAATGCTGCTCTATAAAGTGTGTATGCTTAACCAATTTAAAAGAGAACGAGAAAGAAAATGAGAAGGAAAAAAGATGGAGAGACAAAGACTCACTCAAAGAAAGGGAGAGAGAGAGAAGCAGAGATATGGACAGGTTATGGAGAAGTATTTGTCTTCTGTGGAAACTAGATTGAGTAGTCACTGCTTTCTGAGCCACAGCATCACTTCAACTGGTCTAAAATATTTACCCCTACCTTCACTGACTCACAAATCACAGTAATTCATTAAAAGTTCAGCTTAAAAACTGATTTTTTATGAGTGCTTTCCAAGGCTTAATTTCTACGGTTTGTGGAATAGTGCTAATTAACTTTTAGAAGTCTCAAGTTCCAAGATTTATTTTTAATTTCTATTTGATGTGTCATCATGTAACAGGAGAAATACACCCGAAGCTGGCATTCTTCAGTCACTCGCCAGCCTGTGGGCTCTGAGGGTGTTTCCAGGTTTGGGCTGCAATGAACAGGACAGTGTAAGTGTCTCTGCAAGGTGCTGACTATCCTTCCTTCAGATCCCCACCCAGCCGTGGAAATAAGCCAAACGCAGCCAAATACTGCAAGATCTCACTTACAGAAAGAATTTTCAATTAGCTAATTCATAGAAGCAGAGTTTAAGTGCTATTTTCAGCAGCTGGGGAGAGGTGAAATGGGGAGGCAACAGTTAAGAGATGCAACATTTCAATTATTCAAAATAATTAAATTCTAAATATCTACTATACCATATAGTGCCTGTAACTGACAACATGGTATTGTATAGTTGAGAAAAGGGTAGAGATTGAGTGTTCCTATCACACAGAGTAACAATACTACTAAAATATTGAAAGAGTAATGGATGTGTATTTGGCCTTGATGATGAGGTTTTTCTTATGTATAATTAGACTCAAACTTCTCAACATGTACACATTAAATATGTACAGCTTTTTATATGTCAAAATCATACTTCAATAAAACAGGTTTTTAAAAGACAATTGTTTTTATTTTCTTTTATTATCAATGACAAAGAATTTTTTAAAGTAAGGTAATTTCCTACATATGCTATGGTTTGAATATTTCCCCAAAAAATTCATGTGCTGGAAAGTCAACCTGCAATGAAACAGTATTAAAGGCAGGGCCTATTCACAGGTGACTCGATCAGGAAAGTTTTGCCTTCCTTAACAGATAAATGTTCTTGTCATGGAAACAAGTCAGTCCCATAGGAATGGGTTTATTGCAACAGTGAGTCTGGCCCCTTTGTTCCCCTGCACTCACTGTCCCTCGCCCTTCTACCCTCCACCTCAGGATGACACAGCCCAGAGGTCCTCACCATGTGCCACTGCTGTGTTCCAGAACTATCTCCAGAAACATGAGCCACAGAAACGTCTGCTCAGTAGAAATGATCTAATCTGTGATATTCTGTTACCAGCATCAGAAGTTGGTCAATGACATCTACTAATCAAATAAAAGATTCAAAAGCACATATACGTGAATGCACAGTAAGATTCACAGAGCTATACAAGATGACTTGAGTCTTTTGTCTGTTACCATCTTCTTTATTTTTAAATCTTCCTTGTAAAATCACTACTTTTAAGATTTATTTATTTGTTTGTTTGAAAGACAGAGAGGCAAACCAAACAATATTTCATCTGCTAGTTTATTCCCTCAAATAGTCTCAATGGTTTGGGCTGTCCCTGGCAGAAGTCAGGAGGCAGGAACTCCCCCATGGAGACAAGGATCGAACCACGTAGGTCATTCACACAGAGCTGGAACTGGAATGACAGCTCAATATGCAATGTCAGCATCGCAGGCAGGAACTTCACCCGTCGTACCGTACAACCCCTTCCTCTTTCTTACTGATCTCCCATCCATATACCACTTCATACTCTGTCACTGGCTCCTTACTCTGGTCTATTGTTATTTTATTTTATTGAAAAAGAAGCCACAGAAGAGAATATATTCTCTTTAATAATACTGATGCCAATTTCGCTGTTATTGAGGTACCCAGACTTGAATAACCTGGCCTTTGCCACAGACTTCCTTGATAATGTTACTTATGAACCACACAGACTGAAACTTACTCAAGAATTGCAGGTGGTATGGGGACCAGCGCAGTAGCGTAGCAGCTAAATTAGCATATGCCTTGCATATGCCAAGACCCCATATGGATGCCGGTTCATATCCCAGAGGCCTCGCTTCCCATCCAGCCCCCTACTTGTGGCCTAGGAAAGCAGTCGAGGACGGCCCAAAGCCTTGGGACTCTGCACCCACTTGGGAGACCCGGCGCAGCACCAGCCGTTGCGCTCAGTTGGGGAGTGAAACATCGGACATAAGATCTTTCTGTCTCTCCTCCTCTCTGTATACCTGACTTTGCGATTGAAAAAAAAAACAAAAAAAAAAAACTGAGCCAGAAAACAATCCAGATCTTCCAAGGCATTCTTTCTAGTTTTCTCCTGCGCATAGCAAGGAAAAAATATTTCAAAGCCCATGTTCTGACTTCCAGAAGCAATCAGTATTTTCACCTTACTTTCAGACAATTCTCCATTATGAACCTGGAAAACTCCACATCAAGTACTTGCTAATCAAAAGTTTGGCTGCTCATGAATTATACGATGGCATCATTTTTCCCAAGAGACTTCTGTGTTTCCTTTTTGTCACTCACGTGTTGGCTACTCAGTGGCACGTTATTTTGTTCAAGGTGCTATAATTTGTTGTTGATGTTGTTGTTGTTGACGATGTGACTGTTCTAACTCATACCGGTTGATGACCTTGTTTCATGGCTTCTCACTTAGGGTAATGGATAGTGATGGCGTACTGGGGTCCATCATACACAGACATGGGGGTACAAAGGAACATGCATCCCTGCTTCCAGATGAAAGATGGATTCCCAATGAAACTGTTGGACATGTGTAAACAATGGGATGCTGGACTGTCTGACATTGTCTGTACCAACAATGTTGGGGTACACTTAAATAAGAGACTGATAGAATTACGATTCCTTATAAAGGACTACACTATTATAACAAAATGGAAAAAATCTGACGGGGGGTGGGAGTTTTGAGGGGAATCCCAGCCTATACAAAATTGTACCACATAATTCAAAATTCAAAATAAAAAGACATTTTTAAAAATTACATATTTTCACAGCAGTACAAGCAGTACGTGCAAATTTAGCCACTTTAATCATTTTGCATCATGCCTATCACCTTATTCCAGCAATAAGAAGTTTCCTTACAAGATGTAAAGTACCCAATTATATCTAAATACATACATTCTATTGTAATTTTTAAAACTATTGTAACAAAAAAAGGGAAAAATCTGAAGGGGGGTGGGAGTTTGGGGGGGAATCCAAGCCTATACAAAAATGTGCCACATAATTCAAAATTCAAAATAAAAATTAAAAAAAAAGGAAAAAAAAGTTTGGCTGTTTCAGTGACTTCTATTTACTCCCTAAGAACTAACTTTTAAACACAGACCTTAAACCAGTGCTGAGTTTTGTTCATCCTTGACCTTTCAGTTGCTTTCACTGGCTTGAGACATTTAACTTTTATGTGAAAAGGTATGACTGATCTAAAGAGAGTTAGAACATAAAGCAGACATTTTCCTTTTTACAGCAACAATGTTTACCCTTTAGCTCAGAACTTCACTTGGAAAGACTTAAAGTAGCATACTCACCTGCATCTGGGATATAGTTAAAGGATATCGGAATAATATCCAGGTAACACCTTCACTGCAAGGTGGGATAGTAAGAGAGCCTTCGTACACCCAGTAATCCCGCAGCAGAGGATCTGTGTATCCAGGTGAGAGTGGGGAATGTGGAGAATGTGGGGATGATGAAAAGGCAAGTTAAAATCTTTATGATTCCAACAACAATCTCCAACCTTGCAAACTATCCAAATGACACTTCCCAGTGGATGTCATTTTGAAACTAGAGGCTTACATCTGTATGCTGAAACCAACTATCATGGAGAAACTAACAGATAAAGCACATGATGAATCTTCCTTCTGTTCACAATCATGTCCATCAATGCTTTACTACACATGCCTATCAAAGTGATCTTTATACTTTAGGGGAAGAAAAACCACATCTTAGATTTTTCCCTTGCTTTGCTGGGGGATTTATTTAACTATTTCATGCATACTATTGAATGTTTACTACATACCAGATACTCTTCTAAGCATGTTACTTTAACTCACTCAACCTTCACAACTGACTAACAAGAACGGTACTATCATTAGCCCCCATTTAAGATGGACAAACCACATCACAGAAGGTTAACAAGTCACCCACATTCATTTAATTAATAGTTCACAAAACCAGAATTCAAATTCCATGAACTTTGGCTTTAAGGATTTTATTTTTAAGAATTCTGTTTCAAAGCATTTCTTTTCTAGTCACCTTTATTCTGCTTCTTCAATAACACAATATTAAAATAATACTATGATAGGATAAGATAAATAACTCAAAATCATTTAGTTCCATATTAGAAGAATTCATTGTTAAAAATGTGTAACATATAACAGAAATTGGTTTGTCACAGAGCAATAAAATGCAGCAAGTAAAGGATACAATGTCATAACTTATTTGGTTTCATTTGAAACTCTAAGAAACAACACACAATTTCAGTAGAGAAACACAAAGAATTAAAGTTTATATAAAACAATCTTTAACTCCAAATTACATTCTGAGTATTTCTGCACAATTATAACCATTGCACAAATGCAGTCAGAATAAAAAGTAAATAATAGTATCGCTCTGAAGAGATAACTGTACAATTAGATATCAAATTTAACTCACACTATAAATTAAAAAGAACTTCACAGATGAATCTTAGAAGTACACCAAGATTATTTTATTATGTTCATTTTTACACAGAGATAGTAATATTTACAAATGACAAGTATAACCAAGTTCTTTGTAGAATGATGGGAATTAGTGGCAAAGTGTTTATTATACAAATGGCTTATTCCCATATTTGAAGTAATCTAAACCTTGATCTGCTATAAAGGGTATAAATTGTAAAGAAACTTAATTGTAACTATGCACCTACATATATTCTGAGGAAAATAATGTGACCATATTCATAATTGAAACTCATTTTATGCAATCAGATAAATTCTTACCTGGTAGTAAAGTGTTTGGATTAAAGCAAGGTATTGTTTTGGATTTTCCCTGAAAAAAAGAATTATTTACTTGATATTAATGTAAATGTTTTAATCTTCAAATGTTAGGGCTAAGCATTTAGGTTTATGTACTTTCTGAATATTTCATCAGGTCCCCTAGACTTAAGGGTATCTCTAGAATTGGGGGTTCAGTCTTCCCACGGCGGCAACACTGGCTAGTTCCAAAGATATATATTGCTCTGGATCCACAACTGTTTTCTCCATTACTGCAGTCCATTTTCTCAATACTTCCTGGTGTGGACCTTACAAATGGTGTCCATCTGTCCCACACCAACCACTTTCCTCACTACCAGTGTATTCACACTGGGGCCATGGGTTGCATGCCTTGGTTTGCAGGATTGGTACCCTGGTTCAGCGGATTCCTTTGCAATCACTTTCTTTCTGCCTGCTTTTTATCAGCTCCTCACCATTCAGCATTCAACATGGCTCCTGTTCTGCCACCCTGTCCCAGATGGATTTGGAAATTATGTTCCACGACCTAGCCTGAATGTTCGCTCCACCCTGAAATGAAGATCTGAAACTCAAATCAAAATATTCTGCTTCAATCAACATTGTTTGAATCTAGATTTAAATTTCAAGGGAAATGCCTGTGTACTTACTCAACATTTGACACCTACGACCAGTATTTTAGCATTATGACAGTTTCTTGGGTCTTAGAATCTGACATACTGACTTGTGAATAGGATTTCTCTTACAGGAATACCCTGTTGACCCAACACAACAGGAAATATTAGTGCTGTGAGCCTCTTTTTTTACTTCATGGGACAACTTAACACATTAAAGAACCCAGCTCACTATACTTCCACCAGCCACCTGTATTTCATAATGATTGACATCCTACCAGCTGAATCCTCTATGCCCACTTCTGTCAAACAAGTCAGTCTTAGCTTGATGACTGCAAGTCAAGTTGTTACTAAAGACTAAATCACTAAATGAAGATAACGGTGTGGGAATCCAGCTAGTGCCACAAGACTCCAGATCAAGAGACTCAAAATTCAATTGTCACCTCTATCGTTAACATCTGTACACTAAACCCCATTTTGGGATGCTTCACACGAACCACTGGCCCTGATCAAGGAAAGTAATAATCATCTTCACTGAGAGCACAGACAGATCAGAGCCCACTTCACCATCACAGTGTCCTCCGAGGATGCTAGCTCATCCATTTCAGTTCAATCAAGAGAGGAACATAATCTCTGTGCACCTACCAGACTCACACACGCTGGTTACACACTGCCCAACCCCAAGGCTATAAGATTCACCACTTAATCTCTCATGGAGTTCAAGAACTGAGCAACAGCTGCTCAACTCCTAACTCAACCTTAACAAACAAAACACCTACTTTTTTTATTGCTCTGCAAAAATCAATTGACTGTTGAATAGCAGGAGCTTCTATAACAAGTACAATTGCTCTTCTGTGCCTCTTAGTGGGCATACCACCCAGATTCAAGTAGTTTAATGTGTGCATAAATGGTACTACTTACAACAGATGTTGGCTTTCTACAGTGCTGGCTGACATCATTCACTCCTGAGTCATATTGATCTAAATTACTCTCTTTGATATATTATAGATTATGTGTGCTTTGTTTATCATTATTATTAATATTATTATCATTATTATCTAATATAAACATGTCACAGTTTGGCTCCAAAAAAAATGTATTTATGTTATTTACACAATTTTCCTAAGACAGGTGGGCAGGGAAGAGTTAACTCAGCAGGCCTGGGCTGTTCAAACAAACAAAGTCCAGCTTAGGACTATCTAGTGTCCAGCTTTTGGGAAATTACTTCTGAACCTCTGGAATGATGAGAGTATTTTTGCATGCATGAGGCCTTGGGCTGTGCTATATTTAAATGGTAAACTTCAACTGTTGCATAACTAAGGCTTTAGAGCTTCTATACCAAGTCTGAGCATCCCAACAATGTGAATCATGGTCGATCATCAAGGCAGGGGGCATGAATTGCTGCTGCTGTCAAGGAAGTTAGGTAGGCATGTGGCACTTATGTGACTGATTTTTAGTTAAAACCCAAGGCGTGAAGCCTTAATGAGTCTCTCTGGGTGGATGGACACTTCACATCACTGCAATAGGAAGAAGGGCATCCCAGGCAAATCCACCGCAATGGGGCACTCAAGGGCTTGGGCCTGGTCTTCCCTAGGCTGTGCCCCATGCACATTGTCTCTTTGCTGGTGTGGCTCAGGCATCTTGTACTGAAATAAACCCTAAACACAAGTAGAACAGCTTTTCTGAGTCCTGTGAGTCCTTCTGTGAATTATCACACATGGCGATGGTTTTGGGGACCCTATGCATGACCAGCAGTTCTACATATTCTAAATTATGACTCACCTTATACTGAATATCTTGAAGAATCTCAGTCACTGCCTTCAGGCCAACGTGCTCCTTCCCTATCTGAAATGGATTAAGCAGAAACCACAACACTGTTAAATGTTTTGTTCTACTGAAAACAACAGAACTGAAGGCCAGTCCTAGAGGACTAGTTCATTTACAACCAGGTCAACATCCATTAAATGAACTAAGATGTCCCTGTTAATGCAATAATGTATTTGATGTAAACGACTGAAGATATTATTCTAAATTAATCTTGCTGTGCAGTTATATCAATCACTGTGCTGTGCATATCAAATCATAAGTTACTGTTAAATACAAATGTCACAGATATTTCAGAACGAAAACTATTCAGGGCAGGGTGCAGCTGCTTAAGCCATAGTTTGTTGTGCTCCCATCCCATATAAGTGTGTTGGTTCAAGTTTCATCTCCTGCACTGTTGATCGAGATCCCTGCTGACGTACCTGAGAGGCAACGAGCAATAACTTTAGTTCTTGAGCACCTGCCACCCATGTAGGAGATCCAGGAGTTTCTAGCCCCTGGCTTCCACCTGGCCCAGTCCTAGTCATTTAGGAAGTGCATTGAAGCTCAATCACTCTGTTTTTCTATGTCTCTCTTAGTATCTCTCTCTCTCTCTCTCTCTCTCTCTCTCTCTGACCTAACCCCCTCTCTTCCTGTCAAATCTCAACACATGCCCAAATCTTTTATATGTGGCTTTTTCACACTTGGCATTCATGCAACATTGTTACAACAATTTTTAACAAATTTTAAAACATCACTAACTCAGAAAAATAGATACATAAAGTTGCCAAAATCAAAAGTGGGTCTCCTCCACTGATGGTCAGGCTTATTAGAATCATCTCATGGGCTGTTGTTGAACCCAACCCTACACCCCACATTTCCCTTACTCTGTAAATGCTCTCACCTCCCATGACTCAGACACAATGAAACCATCAGTCATGAATCTCCATGTGCCCAGCCTTTTTCCACCTACACACTGACCTCATTTAAGTCCACTCTTTGCTCCTAGGCCTATATTTCAGAGCAAGAAGGGGACCCTTCCTGTCCAAGGTTAACTAGCCCTCATATATTCACATGTCAAGGCCTCCTCTCTCCTGCGAGATTTCTTTACATCAATACCCCCTTTCTACCTTGTGTATTTTTTAAGATTTTTTTTATCTGAAAGGTAGATTTACAGAGACAAAATACACCCACACACATGCACACACACACACACACACACATATATATATAGAGAGAGAGAGATCTTCCATCTGTTAGCTCACTCCCCAAATGGCTGGAATGGCCAGAGCTGAGCCAATCAAAAGCCAGAAGCCAGGAACTTCCTCCACATCTCCCACGTGGGACCCAAGGACTTGTGCCATCCTCCATCGCTTTTTCAAGCCATAAGCAGAGTGCTGGAAGCGGAGCAACTGGGACACAAACTGGTACCCACATGGGATGCCAGCACCACAGGCAAAGGCACCACAGGTGATCTCAGAACTCAAAGATCTCAGAACTCAAAACTATTCATACACAGCACCACCACAGTTTGCCCCATCTGTCCTTCCTTCTTTCAATCATGCTTCAAGAGAGAACAGTCCACACTCAGGGCCCCTGACTTCCTCCCGTCCCATTTGGCACTCCTCTGGACATCCCCCTAGACCCTGCGGTGCATTTTAGTCCTTCCCTCTCTGCATGGTTCACATTCTTCATCAGTCCCTTCTTCCTGCATATTTTGCTCTCATCCCTTCTCGGGCTTGTCTCTTGAGAAGGGCATTTTTACCCAGGTGATCTGAAATTTTCAATGCAGCAAATTTATGTAAAGTTAGATTACACAGGCATGCTCATGTGGCTTTCTTCAGCCTTAAAGCAGCACAAATTGTTGATAGAAACACAGATTCTGGTTCCGAGAGGCTAGGTTTCAGCTCAGGGCAGCGTTGGTCCACATCAGCTTCTTCATATGAATAATCGATAAAAAGGAAGTGCTACGTGATCTCATGTGGTTCTAATCACATTTATTGAGTCTCAGCTTCAAAGATGAAGTTCATATCTCCCTTTTCCTTTTTTTGTAAAACTACTTGTTTAATGTCTGTCTTAATTTTATTATTTTTATGTCTTTGAGGGTAACAGAGAGAAATCTCTCCTCCACTCACTAATTCACTGCCCGGATGCCTACAGAAGCTTTCCAAGGGTTTGGATGAAATGAGGGACCTTGAACTCATTCAAGGCTTTCCGTTTGCAGACAGAGACCCAAGTACTTGAGCCATTCTCCTTTGCCACCCAGGCCCTGCAATAGCAGAAACCTGGGGCTAGGATCACGGCCAAGACGAGAGCCGCAAGCACTCTGAAATGGACCGTGTGCTCCCCGAGAGGCAGCTCAACAACTAGACCAGACCCCCACCCCTCTAATTTTTTTCAGTAATGAGATTTTCCTTCTACTACCTCAAATTAAATGCCTCATTAAAATGTTAAGTTAAATTGTCTTTAGCAATTATTCTTTAAATGTTCTAAAGATTATCAAAATGTATAATTAAAGACATTTTCATGGATATTTTGTCATTCTAGTCTGCGTAACTGATGTGGTTAAAAATGGAGACTATAGAGTCCAGACCGAAAAAAGCCATGAGACAAGGGTGAGAGATGGATTCATTTTAAAAGTAAAAGGACATGAGTTTATTAAAGTTTTCAATCTTTTTAAAAATATCTCTATACCATCTGCAGATTTTGTGTTTTTCCCACAAAATATGAAATAATAGGACAAAGAATAATTTATAAACAATTTTTTAAATTGACTCCTAAGGAGATTTTAGTTAACATAATTCCACATTAAAAAAAAAAGCTTTTTATAAAGATTTGTTTTTTGAATTTGGCAGGCAGAGTGATGAAGGGCAGGGAGAGGAAAAGAGAGGAGCAGAGGGAGAGAGAGGGAAGAGACAGGGAGAACCTCACTCTCACAGGTTCATTTTCCAAATGGTCATAGAACTGGCACTGGGTCAGGTCAAACCTAGAAACTGATCATTGAACTAGTCTCCCACACGGATGATAAGAATCCAGGAACCTGGGAAATCTTCTACTCTGTTACCAGGTACGTAAGCAGAGACACTACATTGGAAATGCAGCAGCTGGGACCCAAAACCCAGCACTCCAATACAAGATGCCACATTACAGGCAGCAATTTTATTCACCATGTCTCAATGCTGGCTCCTCGTGTCCCTACTTCTGATCTCGACTTCTGACCCACCTCCCTGCTAATGGCTCATGTGTCTACATGCACTGGCTCATGTCCTCTTTTCTCTGCTTCTGGTCAACCTCCCTGCTAACAGCCTGTAAAAGGCAGTGGAAGAAGGGATGAGTGAGCTCCTCCCACCCATATGGCAAACCCAGAAAAAGCTCCTAGTTCCCGGCACCTGGCTCTTGTGGACATTCAAGGAATAAATCAGAAGATGGATGATTGTGCTCTCTCCCTGAGTCTGTAACTCAAACTTTAAAAAAAACAAATGAAATCTTTAAAAAAATAATAAACAAGGGGGCCCAGCACGGTAGCCTACTGGCTAAAGTCCTTGCCTTGAATGCACCAGGATCCCATTCTAATCTTGGTGGCCCCACTCTCCATCCAGCTCCCTGGTGGTGGCCTGGGAAGATAGTTGAAGATAGCCGAAGGCCTTGGGACCCTGCACCCACATGGGAGACCCAGAAGAGGCTCCTGGCACCTGGATTCAGACCGACGCAGCTCAAGCCATTAAGACTGCTTGGGGAGTGAATCATCAGATGTAAGATCTTCCTCTCTGTCTCTCTTCCTTTCTTGATATCTGACTTTCCAATAAAAATTAAAATAAATACATAAAAGCATGTATTCAAAAATAATTAGCAAGGGGGCCAAGCACAGTAGCCTAATGGCTAAAGTCTTCGCCTTAAACACACCAGGATCTCATATGGGCACTGGTTCATGTCCCGCCCCCTCTTTTTCCTATCCAGCTGCCTGCTTGTGTCCTGGGAAAGCAATTGAGGAAGGCCCAAAGCCTTGGGATGCTGAACCACATGGGAGATCAGAAAGAAGCTCCTGGCTCCTGGCCTCGTATCAGCATAGCTCCAGCCATTGTGACCACATGAGGAGTGAACCAGCAGACAGAAAATCCTTCTCTCTCTGTATCTCCTTCTCTTTGTAAATGGAAGATCTTTCTCTCTTTCTCTCCTCTCTGTAAATCTTGTTTTCCAATAAAAATAGCAAATAAATCTGTTAAAAAGAAATAAGCAAATAAAAATAAATAAATGAAATCTTAGGAATGTACAACAGAAAATTATTATAATAAGTCACACTATGCTAAATACTAAATTTAACAAAATACTAAAGTTGAAAGAGTTCATGACCCAAAACTCTTTGAAAACTGAATTACTGAAGACTACTGTGCTGCCATTATGGTTCTACTCCAAGGCCATCCAGAGGCAGCTCAGAATCACAGATGGTTAAAACTCATGTTAAAGTCTTATGTGACCAAATCACACACCTGACCTATCTGGGCCTTGAATCCTCCTGCACATTAATTGAGGACAGTAGGCAAGAACTAGGAATTAAATTTTATCTCTAAATTTCTTATGACATCAAGTAAGTTAGACAAAGTTTTAAAACATATAACTTAGGAACGGGATTAAATTTTTATCATTGAAAACACATGGTCTCAGAGATGGTCTCCCCAAGAAGACGTTGGATTTACCTGGACAAGAAGATGCTGGACTCTGTGCTTGGTATACGCTTGCAATGAAAGAATCTTGACTGAATTTGAAATGCAATATAGCATCAAGGTGGAGGACTCCACCATGGGGGGTGGGTATGGGGAGGGGTTGGGGGAATCCCAGAGCCTATGAAACTGTGTCACATAATGCAATGTAATTAATAATATATATGTATATATATAGTGAATATATATATAAATAATATATAATTTAAAACATAAATAAATTTTTAAAAAAGAAAACACATAGTCTGCATTCATGTTCAGCTGAAATTACAGACCTTTGTTCAGTATAGAGTGTGAATCTAAATTTCACATTGCCTAGCTCTGCTTTGGTATTGTCAATCTTTGCTTATCAGTGTTTTCTAGCAGACACTTCACCTTGGAGTGAAAGTCATGCCCGATGAAAAGCTAAAGTAATCCACATGATCATATTATTGATTTTTCTTAGATTTGTAGCCAGCCAGAGACTCAAGACACTTTCTGAAATACTTCTTCATAAATAAAATGAATTCTGTCTTTCAGGCTCATTTTTCTAAATAGTTTCCCAAAAACCCTAGAAGGCAAGCTGAAGAAAATCCCCAACAAATAAATGAACTGTTTATCCACCAATGAATATGGCTGAACCTTCACAAATGACAAAGATCAATGTCTCTGCTTTTTAAGTGTTTCTGTAAATGTGTGCATCATGATCAGTGTTCCCCATACATGTCACCTCTTTCTTCCTAGAGAATGAATTAGAAGTAAGCCTGTAGGCTTCACAGTGACCACAGCCAACCATTTACCTGAACAAACAAGGCGATGATGGCAATGCCATGTGGCTTCCCCACAGCCTCATCGATGCTGCCAAACAGGGTGGAATTCCAGTGGATCAGATGGAGCTGGAAAGGAAACAAGGAACAGATCACACTAAGCCGGAAAAGACAACTGGCTCGCCTTCTTTGCCTTCCTGCTGCCACATGCAACAAGAATATCATGTGTTGTCTCTGATATAAGGCAGCCTTCATGCAAAGTACAAGCTCAATAGCCCTTCCAATATGGTTTTTGCTGCAATTCATGGGTTTTTATATTTTTGCTTTTATTTTCATTTCTTCAGGATAGTTTCTTTTCTCTTAATAAACTCTTCACTGACTCATAGGCCATACAGAAGTACTATTTTCTCCAAGGAGGTTTTTGTTTGCTTTTCCATTTCTTCACTGACACACTGATCATTCAATAGCATGTTATTTAATTTCATGGCATTGTAATTTTATTTATCTTTATTCCTACTGTTGCTTTTGTTTTATGGCTTTTCATTTAAGGGGATGTATAGTGACTGTGTAATAGAGATTATCATATCCAGATGTGAAGATACAATGCAGTGTGCATCTCTACTTCCAAATCAAAGGTGGACTCCCAATGAAACTGTTGGTTATATTTTGACAATAGGATGCTGGACTATCTGCCATTGTTCTTACGCACAATGTCAGGATGCTTAAATGGAAGAATGATGGACTTATGACTGCTTATGAAGGACATAATGCAATAATATGAAGGAAATCAGTAGGAGGGATAGGTAATTTGGGGGTGAGAGTAAGGGAAATCCCAGAGCCTATGGAATTGTATTATAAAATAAAATTTAAAAAAAGAATGTCACAGCAGCAGGTGTTGTGGCACATTGTGTTAAGCCAATACTTGGACAACCACATCCTGTATGAGAATGCCAGGCTGGGTCTCAGTTCCTCTGCTTCCAACCCAGCTGTCATTCAATGCATTCTGGGAAGGGATCAGAAGATTGCTCACATGCTTGGGCCCCTGACACTCGCTTGAGAGGCTACGTATTGCGGGGTCTGCCTGCTGTGTGCCCTAGCCTAGATTATTGGCAGCAATTTGTGGCGTGAAGCAGCAGATGGAAGCTACCTCTCATTCACTTTCACACAGAGACTTCAAGCACTGCCCTAATTGCCTTCATAAGGCCTAGGAAGCAGGACCTAGTAGCTCATTCTTTCTGCCTCCCAAGTTCAGTGTTAATCCAGACCTGGAGAAGCATAGGCAGGAAGCCTCATAGCTTTTGCCTTCACTTAGCAGTGTTTCCTTAAACCTCATCCCCACTGGATCTCAACAGAAAATTCCACAAGTAATCCAAATGGTCAGTATTTGCATAATCAGACACTGCAATACCCAATATTTTCATGAGGAAATACACAAAACCTGTCACATATTCTAGGAATAGCACACTTTTAAAGAGCACAATTTTTTTTAGTTTTTTTATTATATTTTTGACAATCTTTACATAGTTAATTAGGGTAAAAAGGTTCAAGGGCTACAGGAAAGTGGGTAAGACTATTATTTCCATATTGTTTCCTTCATGTTTAAAGGGGGGTATTAAGGGAGAAGGCCCACCCAATTTCCCACCCTGGCCAGGTCCCGCATGTAGGGTATGTTCCGAGGTTCTTGCTCAAGTGGTTTTGATAGTTCACCAGTTATAAACCGCTGCCAGTCTTGCCACTTCAAGCACTATGAGGTTTTTGAAGAATCCACTGATTGACATAGTCCATCATAGAGTCTCCGTTTGCCCTGTATTTCGCTGCCAACAGATAGCTGAAATGGTTGATTGACCTGTTCTGTCTTCTCTCTTTTCTTGGTTAGGGTTCTGAGTTCTGCATTTTCATTGGGGAAATCTCCAGAGAAACTTTGTCTGAGGTGTGCTCAGACTAGATTTTTGTATGTACTAGCAGATACAGGGCTCGGCTCAGTCCATGGCCCTGATCAGCTGGTGGTTGCGATCGCTGGGTTGGTTCTGTTTTCAGCCCCGACTTCCACTGGAACCAATGGGTGTTGCAGTCCAGCCTGGTGCTGCCCAGCACATTCTAAAGAGTACACTTTTAAATCTTTAAAATAATTGTACCCCAACCATTTTTTTTAAAATGTTTCTTTTTATTTATCTGTTTGAGAAGCAGAGAGACAAGGTGAGAGGGGAGTTTCACTCACCGGTCAACTCCCCATGTGCCCCTAAGTGGCCAGTCTGGTCCAGGCAAGAGCCAGGAGCTGACAATCCAACACAGGTCTCTGTTACCACCACTGCCTTCAATGGTTGCAGCCAAGAGCCAGGGCAGAGTGTTGCTTAGTGCCCCGCCACTCCAACATTGCAAGTCAGGCTCTGCGTCGTAGCTGCTGGAATAAACGCTCACCTAATGTTGCATTTCTTTAAATCCATGGGAAAATAATGGATTCCAAAATAAAGCTCTAGAAGAAATCAGTTTGCTGCATTTGAAGATAAAAATTTTACCCTTGAATAAATGACAAACAATGCTGCAGAGACTTCCCTGTATCATAACCTCGTAAAGATTTGCGGATCACCTGTATCATTACTTGCTCCTAGGCCACTAATAAGACACTTGCAAAAAACCAAATTCAGCTTTCCTGGTTAAAACAGTGTTACTGGTGTTCTTCATATAAGAGCAAATAGAGAAAACCCTCCACTCAGAAGCTATTTTCACCAATATAACTTTCAATCAAGTTGTAATTACCATTTTAAATCATTGCCTCATCTTGAAATTATTCATAACCCAAGGAAGCTTCATCACTGTCTTAGCAGCTACAGTAATTATCACAAGGATTGTCACAAACTTGACTTTTCCACTATTCATCCAGTACAGTTTGAGATTATAATACTGACCACTAGAGGGAGGTAATGAAGTTCTTTGCCAACACTAGAACCACTAACCCACGGAGACTATACCCAAAGCCAGACTGGGTCAGCCTGTGAAAAACTCACATGAACTGTATTTGCCAAAAAACCGTACCTGTTAAGGAACTAACTTAAAGAAAAGAATGTTCTACAAGCTCTCAACTAACAATAAAGGACAGACTGGTCTTAATATTTCCTGCTCTGGCTGTAACAACAGTGGCGTAGATAAGAACTGATTGTCTGGATTAAATCAACAAAGGAGGTCTAGGTCCGTCCAAGGTTGAGATGTACTTTTACTTGACAAATTACAAAGTTCAAACCAAGGTTTTCATCTCACTGCAACATCACGGGACATGGAATAAATAAAACAGTAATTTAAAAAATGTAGCTTTGTCTTTGCCCCTTATTAAGACTCCTCCTTCCTCCTCTTATTAAGACTCCTCCTTCCTGCTCTTCAAATACCACTGCATACTTTCCTGTTTAAAAACATTAAGAGTTTCCACTCTGTTTCCAAGAGCAGAGTAAGGGAATGAGGTAAAAATAGGCACTAAACGCAGTGTGCAGTCTCTGATCAAGGTCAGCATCAGCAATGACGAGTCACAATGATACAATGGACCTGTGTTACAAGGTCCTGAAAATGGCACTTGGTACCAATGCTCTTCATGCCAATAACCCCAATTTCATCCTGAGGAATGCATCAGACCAAGCTCATCAGGAGTCGCTCTATGAAATTCCTAACCAGTACTACTCAAAATGGGCAAGGTCAGAAAAAACAAGGACATCCTGAGAAATGTTACCATCAAGAGGAAGACATGAGAACTACATAATCTGGTATCAGCAAGTGAGATCCAAGAGTAGAACAACATTAGGTAAAAACTAAATTGATTTGAATTTAAAAATAGATGTATTTGTTGACATCGCTCTACTAGTTCTAACAAATATGTCCTGCAAATGTTAAGATGTTAATTATGAGGAAAACTGATAAATGAGAATATTTTGTATTGTCTTGACAATGTTTCTCTACCTCTAAAACTTCTCTTAAAAATAGGCTGTTTTAAGACAGAGAGAGGAAAAGAAAAATTGAAGAAAAATGCTGGCGCTTCAACCCAAGCTACCAAGCAGACTACAGGGTTGCTGTACCTCCACATGTCCAACACATTAACACAAGGTGAAAGCAGCAGGAAAACTTCTACCACCTGTCACTCCTTCTCCCACTTGGGCCTCCAATAACCACCTGAGTCTGACAACACAGGGGCAGGAGAGAGCCAACAGCCACCCAAGCGTTACAAAGCAAAGCTCTATTTTAATTTGAAGAACACTTCCCTTGAAGATGCATTCTCTCATTTTAATTGAAAACAAATATCAGAGACCCTTTTTCCACAACATGAGAGACTAGCTAATTCAAGTAGCAGGCAGATTTCCAGCACATTCTGGAAATGAGCCCAGCTGACAGCAAGGATCCCAATGGTGGCAGCCTTGCTGTGCAATCTGCAGGCACAGCACACTGTGCATTTTTGCTGCCTCTCAGCTTTGTCTCTCTCTGCTGCCCAAGTACTTTCCAACTTCATGAGTACTGGTCTCCCAGGGCTTTCAGAACAAAATGCCACAGACAGGTCAGTCTCAGCAACATTTATTCCCCACAGTTCTGCAGGCCTGACATCTGAGATGAAGCTGTCAGTGGAGTTGATTGCTTCAATGCCCTTTTTCGATGGCTGTCTTCTCCTCGGGAGTTCACAATGTTCTTGCTCTCTGTAGGACTATGCCCACATCTCCTCTTCTTTTAAGGACAACAGAATTTCTCAATAGTGGCCACCCTAATGATCTCATTTGAACTTAATTACCTATCTCCAAAAGTCACCTGTTCAAGTACCAGAGTTCAGATACAGGCACAGAAATTTGGAGGCAATATAGTTCAGCCCCATAATAACCATGTATCTCATCCTTTCCTGTTTCCTCTCTCCTATTCATAATGAAGACACTTTATATTCTAAAGCTTGACTTATTCACACCAACATCTGGCCTCCCCAAGCCCATTCCTATTCCTGTAGTTATATCAGTTGGCCTTATACAAATGGTCTTTTTGGAAGGTGAGCATTATGCAAACATCATGCATCAATTTCAAATGTATTTTCACCAAATCCTTTTTTCCTCAGGCTTTTTCAAGCACACTTGTATTATTGTTGGCTCCGTTCCATGCAGCAAAGCCACAAA